AAAAAACCCCACAAACCTATTATGTTACATAAGTAACATTTTAACTTATTCTATTGCTTTCAAAGCAAAAAAACAAAACAAAACAAAAAACCCAAAACAAAACCCTACATGACTGTATTGTAGTCAGGGTGAGGGACCCTAGTGGGATTCATAATTAATTAAACCCACTACCACCACCTCCTGAACCTTGATCTAAAAGGCAGCCGTGGAGGGCACCTGGGTGGCTCAGATGGTTAGGCGTCTGCCTTCGGCTCAGGTCATGATCCCAGGGTCCTGGGATCGAGTCCCACATCAGGCTCCCTGCTCCTTGGGAGCCTGCTTCTCCCTCTGCTTCTCTCTCTGCTTCTCTCTCTCTGTCTCTCATGAATAAATAAATAAAATCCTTAAAAAAAATAAATAAATAAATAAATAAAAGGCAGCCGTGGAGGCGCCTGTGTGGCTCAGTCAGTTAAGCATCCGACTCTTGGTTTTGGCTCGGGTCATGATCTCAGGGTCATGGGATCGAGCCCTGTAGCCCTGTGTCGGGCTCCGCGCTCAGCGGGGAGTCTGCTTGAGATTCTCTCTCTCCCTCTGCCCCTCCCCCCACTCGTGCACCTGCGCTCTCTCTCCGAAATAAATAAATTGATCTTAAAAAAAAAAAAAGGCAGCCGCAGTCGAACTCAGGCCTATTGTTTGACAACCTGAGTGCACTTGAAAATGCCCATCCATTCACTGTGAGTGAGGAAGCCCCTCGAACCACAGCAGTGAGCTGCAACCTGGGCCTCAAGCATAGCCATGTCATCTCCCAGCTGGACCGAGCATATGGCTCACCTGGATGCTTTGTCCTAGTGAGGGCCACAGGCCTCCCAGCCGAGGAGGGGAGGGGGCTACTGAAGCCAGAAGCAACAAATGAGGTAAAAGGGAGGAACAGGGAAGGCACATTGCCCTGGACCCACACAAATCAACAGCACTCCCAGCTAGCTCCTTCCTTAGTGAAAGGTTCCAGAATATTTCATTCTGTTCCCAGAACAAGGAAACCATCCATTCTGGAGTCAGAAAACCCTTGTAAAATGTAAACTAGACTCCGTTTCCACCCTGTTGATTTAATGGTCTCAGACTCCACCTGCTTGGTTCTGTCCACCCTGCCTCTGTTCACGGAGAGGAGGCTGTACTCAGTTCAAAGGTGACCACAGGGTCTGATTTAAAGAGATGATGATCAAGTCAATGCAAGGCCCGAGTGACCTTTTCCTGGCCCAGAATTACTCAATCTAACTGGTGGCTGGTCCATTCAATCACCCAAGGGAAAAACAAAGCACTGATCATTCTGGTGACAACTCATTGCCAGAATCCAAAGAGCAAATAAAACTGCTTAATAGAGATATGAAAACACAGGGCAGCAACTTGTATGAGAGCCCACAAAGAAACACAAGATCTGGGGTCAGGTCTCATGACTGGTATTTGGAAAGGGGCGGAGGGACACCTGGGACTGAGCATTCAGATCAGGAATTCCTCAGACCTGTGGGGCACCTGGCTGGCTCAGTCGGTGGAGCATGCGACTCTTGATTTCAGGGCTGTAAGTTTGAGTCCCATGCTGGGTGCAGAGATCAGTTAAAAAAAAAAAAAAAAAGAATTCCTCAGACCTACAAGAGTAAAGGATCTTGGTCTGTCTGGTGTCTCCCCTGAAAGGGCTCACCCAAGCTCTTGGAAAGGGAAGTTCAAGGACAGGGATGGAATTAGAGACAGGTACAGCAGGTAAGATGCTTCCCAATGACTGGCACACCTTCCCAGCCTCTCAACTCCCCAACCCAAGCCCATAGCTGTGAAAAGGAGGAAGGGATCTTCCAGTACATGCTAGCTATACAGCTGAGCCAGGCTCCCTAGGAGACCTGGAAATGAACCAGGGATCCCTGCCTTCAAAACATACACAGCCTGTGCTACCATGTGGATAAACCTTGAGGAGATGATGCTAAGTGAACTAAGCCAGACACAGAGGGACAGATCCTGTATGACTCTTTATATGCGGTACTAAGAGTAGTCAATCATAGAAACAGAAAGCACAGTGGTGGTTGTCAGGAGCTCAAGGAGAGGAAATGGGGAGCTGTCGTTTGGTGGAGACAGTTTCAGCTGAAGAAGAGGAAAAGAGTTCTGGAGATGGATGGTGGTGATGGGTGCACAGCAATGTGAATATGCTTAATGGCACCGAACTGGACACTTAAGAATGGCTCAAATAGGTTAAGATGGTAAATTTTGTTACATATATTTTATTGCAGTTAAAAAAAAAAAAAAAAAAAAGCAGTTCAGAGTCACAGGGGGCTGACATGGGTACCCCCCAAGCCTTTGCTCCTACTGCTCTCAGGGCAGCCAGCTTCCCCTGCCCTCTGCCACTAGACATGTGCTGACAGGCGAGGCCTCTCTCTAGCGCTGCCGCCTCCGGAAGCTTCCCTGGTCTCACTCCCTCTGAACACATAAATGCTGTGTGTGTTCCTGTCTTCCGTGAACATGTAAGCTTGCAGACGGCAAGGACTCTACTCTCCTCCCATGTAGCCCGCAAGGTAGAAAGGGAAGGGCTCACACACAGCAGGGCTCACAGCTGATGGACCCTGAGTGTGTGGAGGGGAAGGGACCCCTGGACCAACCCAGGATTTTCAGGTGCAGTGCGGGGCAATTCAAAGAATACCCTAAGGTGGCCATATTCGGGAAGGAACAGATCTGCATTCCCACAGGGACCCGGAACCCCAGGAATCCCAGCTCTGCTCCTTCCTGGTTTCGTCCTTACCTATGGTTGGGCAGACCCACCCCGTGAAGACGGAAGAGCCTGCGAGGGAAGACACTGTCACCAGACCTGGCACAGAGGGGTCATTTCAGCTTCTTCCCTCTAACACCAGGGCCCGCAACTCAAAAAATACGAGAGCGCACTCATCCAAAGGGCTTCCGAAGCCATGAGAGCTGGGCTTCCATGTCTGTTGCTGCTGCTGTGAAAAATTAGGGTGCTTCCAATCCCTCCCACACCGGGATTTTCCTCACTGTCTCCCTGTAGGGCGCAGCCCTGGCCAGCAGGCCCCACGGCCCTCTAAAGAACATCAGGAAACAGTCCAGAAAGAGACAGATGGCTTTGCCAGCAAAGGCTCCCTCCTTTCCCTCCAGCCACAATGCTCAGAAGAGTGCTGAGTACAGAGCTGAAGGCTCCCAGAGCTGAAAACCAGTTTTAAAACCTAACAGGAGAGAGAACCTTGAGGGCATTCAGAGAAAGATCCAGAAAATCCTAAGAGTGGGGTCCAAGTCGTAAAAATGAACCCCTCGGCCATTTCCTGAGAACCTGCCCTGGGTTACACACAGAGCCAGGGTCCCAGGCCTGCAGCAGCTGTATGAGAGGCTGGACGGAGCCATTGATGAGAAGGGGAAGAGGAACCGAAGGGCGACCTACGGAAACACATTCGGTCCGACCGGCCCCCACTTTCTGGAAACTCAGAATTCTACCATCAGCAAGAGAATACCATTTCAGATCGCAGGTCTCCATGAAAACCTCTCATTTTCTTTATTAACAATGTTCTCCCGCATCCCGGCGCTGAGGGCCAGTTCAAGCTGGCTCACTCAGTCGACAGCTGGCCAGACAAGGCTGGTGCCCAGTGACCACAGGGCAATCCTCCAGCCCCCAGGGGAGCTGATGTGCCTGCAAAGCAGGCTTCTAAATACTGCAGCGTTCCACCCCCACAGCGAGGGACCTAAGGGATGCAGCTGGGTCAGACCACAGGTCCGAGCAGCAAGCCACAGCCACCCCCAGCTACAAATGGAAGATCAGCAACTGGATGTACCTAAAACAAACAAGCCAGAGCACTGACCACAAAAAAGGCCACTTGAAAGAGCCAAAAATAGCCTTACTTGTTTCAAGAGGATTCTGACGATGGAAACACATACAACTCCATCAGCAGAAAAAGAAAAATCAATGGAGCTGAAAACAGGATCAGCCCAACAGGGACCAGGACTCCAACAAGAGATTCCCCACAGGCTCCCAACCCCCAGCCCACTGGAGCCCCACACCCACCCATCCTCTTCTTACTCCAGTCTTACAGACTGTGCCTGGATCTCAAAGCCCATCGCCCCAGAAGTTACATACACAACCCCACAGGTTTTAATCTTAGGACCAAGGGTCAGATCATGGATTAGGAGACCAAAATGAGCACCACTGTACACTCCTCCCTGGGAAGACAAGGAGGCAAGAGTGCACGGAAGGATCAGAAAAGGGAGCTGAGCTAAGATGCACACAGGAGCCTCTGGGTGAGTAATGATGGGCGATGCCTCCCATCAAAGCCAGGCAAATCAGAACGGGTGGCTCAGCTTCAGCCCTGGATAAAATCTTCACCCCCGTTCATTTTCAGTGGCCCACTGAGTCAGAACTGCCTGTCTGTCACCTCACTTCCTCTTAATTTCTATTTTCACTTGCTCTGACTTGCATTCGGGCTGCTGGTTAGCAAGCGAACCTGACACTTCTACGGCTTGGGAGCCGCTAGCACATCTTGGGTTCCCCATTAGTGTCTTGTAACTCTTCCAGGACAGAAACAGTTGGGGTGGCAGTGAATTTCCGAGACACAAATCAATCCCCCCTAAAAGTACCCAATCTAGAAGGCAGAGATGGCCCCCTCTTAATACCACCCCCACTGCCTACCTAGATGGAGGGATCACAGGGCAAGGAGATTACTGCCCAGGGCACCTTGGTCTCAACCCACAGAGCCTCACAAGAGGCACATCACTCCAGAACCAAAGGAACAGCCACCTACCATCCCCGCATACTGCCCGTCCCAACCCAATCCCAGTCCAAACACTGGGAATCTGCATTCAGCAGGAAGTGGGGGATGGCGTTTGTTCAAGTGTAAGGATCAGCAGGAATCCTTCCTGTCCACGATAGCATGTGGACAGTCCAGAAAAGTATCTACCTGTTCCTCCCCTGGTCAACGACCCGTTTCTTTTCAATGGTTTCCAGCCAGGGTGCAGGTGTGCCCCCCCAAGGTGGTGGAGGTACCCACCTGCATCTCCATGGAAGGTGCCATCCTGAGGCAGCCTGCCCGACAAGCTGTCCCCATCGCTGGGCCAGATCTGCCCCGTCTTGCGGACGCCCACGATGGTGGCCTCCGACACAATGACCTGGCCCTGCCGGTGCCGCTTCTGGCACTGGGGCGTCGGGGGGCTGCTGCTGTCAAAGGACTGCTGTGAGTTCTGCGAGGGTGAGCGGCTCTTGTCCCGAAACATGCGGTAGGTGGTGGGGCTGGGGGACACGCGGCTGGACTGGCCCGAGGAGAAGTCCTCCTCGCTCGAGGTGAGGTTCTCATTGGAGCTGCAGTCCGGGGTGTAGCCGCCTCCGCTGTCCTCAAAGCTCCGAGGCGAGTAGGACCTGCGGGGCCAGGTAAGGCGCTTCTCCTGCTCCGAGGTGCTCTGGCTGCGCAGGAGCGGGCCCTTGCCTTCCCCTTCCATCATCATGCCCCCGACGTAGATGCTCTGGTAGGGCTGGTACTCCAGGGGCGGCCAAGGGGGCCTGCTGCCGCCATTGGCGTTGATCAGGTTGTCCTTCAGGAAGCGGGGGTTCAGCTCCGCGTCCTCGTAGTCGCCATCGAGGCCGCAGCTGCTCTCAGAGGAGCGGCCCCGGTAAGAGGGTCTGGGCGCGTCCCCCAGGCCCGGCCCGGTGCCGTGCTGGGACTTCTTACGTTCCATCTGCATCGCCTGGCTGCCCAGGGAGCTGATCCGGTCCGACACCTCTTTGTCGTTGACCTTCACCAGGCCTCGCTCGTGGTGAAACTCGACGTTCACGTAGAAGGGCTTCTCGGTGTCCACCGCCCCGGGCTGGCCGTGGCCCTTGCGGATCCTCTCAAAGTTGGACCTGAGCGCCGCCACGCTGGTGGGGGGGCCCCGGTCTTCCCGGTCCGCGGTCGCGGAGGCCCCTGGCCTGCGGGCGACCGCGGGCCTGGCCTTGCTCGGGGAGCCCTCTCCGTCGGGCCGGGCCTCGGGCTCCTCGGCAGGCGGCGGGTCGGCGCCGTCGGCGGGCGCGGGCGGCGGGCGCTGCACGGACGCGCGGGGCTCGGCGGCGCCGTCGGGGGTTTGCGCGGCGCGTCGGAAGCCCCAGCGTTGCCGGTCGTAGCTCTTCTTCTCCTTGGCCAGCAGCGTCTGCAGGTAGATCATGCGGAAGCGCTCCTGGTTCACCTCCTGCTCCAGGCGCCGAATGGAGGCCTTGCAGCGCTCCAGTTCCTGCTCGATGTCGCCCACCGAGCGCAGCTCCATGCGCGGCGGCTCGGAGTCCGGGAACTGCGCCTTCCACGCCTCGGCGAAGCCCACTGGGTCCACCATGGCGCGGCCGGCCTCACCTGCGCCGCCCGGCTGCGCGCGGGGCCCGCCTCAGCGGCGGAGCGGCGACCTCTCCAGGCCCGGCCCGGGGCGCCCGGCGGCCCCCATGGCCTCGCGCGGCGGTGGTGGTGGCGGCCGCGATAGCGGCCGAACAATGCCCGCCCCCTCCCGGCGGCAGGTGAGGCGGCGGGCTCGGCTCCCCCCGGGCGGCGCGGGACGCGGGGCGCGGGGGAGGGCGCGCGCGAGGGGGGTGGGCGCGCGCGAGGGCGGGGGAAGGGCGCGGGGCTGCGCGCGCCGCTATTGTGTGCGGGGCTTCTCCGCGCGGCGCGGGCGCTGCCCTCCGCTCGGCCCGGCCTCGCTAGCCCATGGCCGCCGCCCGCGCGCTCCTCTGCTCTCGCTCCCGTGCCGCGCCTCGTCCCGGCCGCCGCCGCCTCCCGGGCAATGCGCTCGGCCCGGCCCACTCTCGCTGCACTCCCGCCCGGCCCGCAATCGGCGCCGCAGGAAGGGGAGGGCCGGGGGGCGGTGGCCGCGGCGCTGCTGACGGAGCCGGGCGGGCCTCTTAAAGGGGCCGTGCAGAGGGCTCCGGGTTGGGGGGGGGGAATGGGGGAGGGGGGAGGGGCCGCCGGGAGGCCGCGCCCCCACCCGGCCGCAGCCCTCTCTCAGTCTCCGCGCCTTAGGGAAACTCAGTCCCCGGCGGCGGCGAACCCGGCCCTCCGACGGCCCTGGCGAGTTCTGCACTCCTGGAACAGGAACACCTGGATCTTCACGTCTCCGCAGCCCGGCAGCCACTCTCCAGCGTCAGGGCTGAGCGCTCTAGGGGCCACCCACCGGGCCCCTCGGCACGCTCGAGCCGGGAGGGGCGGGTCATCCAGGGAGGCGGGGAGGGCCAGGCTGGGCCACCAAAGCCAGGAGCGCCTGAGTGCCAGCGGCCCCCAGAGCTGTGGCCTTGGAGTGGGTAATGCCACAGCTGCCGCAGGGCATTGTCGCAGAGGTAATTGGCAGGAATTTCTCCCCCAGGTCACTCAACACCCACATCGCCCTCCCTGTGGTCCTGAGCTGTACGTCTGTCCGGGGCCTCTCCTGAGCTTCAGAGGGCCAGCCTAGTTTTTCCCGGATTGAGTGACTCAGAGCTTGGGTGTTTAGTCTCCCCCTAAGGGGGTGGCCAGTCTCCACCATAACCCTCAGGACTGGGTGGAAGGCAGGATAGCCCAGGGCCGGCAGTGAAACAAAATCATCTCTCCTACCCCAGGGAAGCCCAGAGATGATAGACACACAGCAGAGAGCACACTTCAGGGAGTCTGATGGGCACCAAATGAAAATACCCAAACCGGCCAGGCCAGCGGGGTAAGTGAACAGGAAACAGGATTTGTCAACCAAAGAACTGGGCCTGAGTCTGGACCACCTCTGCCTCTGTGCCTCAGTTTCCTTTGACACTGAAATGAGAACAAGGATACCTGTCTCCAAGGGCTGTTGTCCCTGCATGGATGGGAGGGGTTATCTTGCCCCCCCCCCCCCCCCCCCCGCATCCAGTGCCACCCAGAACAGATGCTCCAGCATCTAATCTAGAAGGAACAGAACCCAGGGCTATCAGCCAGGCCAGCCTGGCTCTGGTCAGGTCTTCCCCACTCCAGGTTTTGTGACCTGGACAGTTCCCTTCCTTCTCTGAGCCTCAGCTTTACCCTTGTAATGTAAAATGTAAGCACCATGTGTAAAGCACCCAGTTGGGGCAGACATGAAACACATTGTGATAAATGGCATGTGATGCTCCTCCCTTGACTGCTTGTTAAGGTTGGTGCTCTGGGAGGTGCCCTGGGAGGGTCATGGGAAAACTCAGGCCCCAGAGTCTAGACACTTCCAGGCACAGTTCACTGCCGCCCTCTGCAGGCCTCTCCACCCTCCTGCTCTCTCTCCTCCTGAGGCCCCAGCTCCTTTATGTTGCAGACTCCCTCCAAAGGCAAGCACCGCCCCCCCCCCAAAGCCTGTTTGGCAGGCGAAGAAACAGAATGAGTTGATGCCCTGACTTTGGGGCTGGACAGGTGAAGCCGGAATCTCAGCAATTCGCACATCCTCAGCGACCTTTTCTTTAAAATGGGTGTAAGGGCACCTGGGTGGCTCAGATGGTTGGGCGTCTGCCTTCGGCTCGTTCATGGTCCCGGGGTCCTGGGATCGGGCCCCGTGTCAGGCTCCTGGCTTGGCGGGGAGCCTGCTTCTCCCTCTGCCCCTCCCCCTGCTCATGCTCTCTCTCTCTTTCTCTCTCTCTCTCTCTCTCTCTCAAATGAATAAATAAAAATAAATAAAATAAAATGGGTGTAAGTCCTGACCCCACAGGGTGTGGCACATAGCGGCTTGCGATCAATATTAGCTGCCTTCCTCAGATGACCTACTCAGGTCACCCAGTGGGTTGGATCAGGCAGGCTTCCAGAATCCCATTGTCTGGTTGTCTCCAGAGAGAATTCCAAAAGCACATACTGCTTTTTTTCCCTTGCTGATGGAATACCTCCACTTCCAGGGCAGGGAATCATGGGCTCATCTGGGACATTATCATTAATCACCTGGGAAAGAAAAGGATACTTTGGGAGGGAGGCTTCATCTGTCAGAGAGGTGTCCCTTTCTCTGGTTTCCAGTTTAGCCCCACCTCAAACATTGTATACATAAGCAAACTTATTTCAGAAACCAGAAGATAGTGGCAATCTCCCCTGTGAGATAGCTTCTTCTGGCCCCAAGGACACTCCTCTCATCCTCGACTCCTCTCATCTTTGGTCCTTTCCTAAAAACATTCCTGCCTTGGGTCTCTGGTCTTTTCCTGCAGAGCTTTCTTATCATCCATCCCTCCCCCAGGGAAGATGGGGCCCAGATACATAACACTCTTAATCCCCCATTAGCTGTCTGTCCCCAGCTAGATCTAAACTCCCAAGGATGGAGATCTGTTTGTCTTGTTCCCCACTGCCTCCCCAGTGCTCAGCACATAGTAGATGCTCAGCCAGCGCTGGCTGAAAGGAGAATCTGACGTGTGTGTGGCCAGAGGAGCACACAACCCAGAGAGAAAGATGGACATGAGTCGGGGAGGAAAGGATTAGGCAGGCAGAGCCAGGCCTGTGTGTGCTGTGCAGGGATCCAGGAGGGGGCAGAGGTCTGGGGAAGGCCTGCCAGGAGAGGTGACCTCTGAGCTGTTCCTAAGGATGAGGAACAGAAAGGCAAAGACAGGGAGACATCAAAGTTCTAGGTGTGTTTCAGGCACAGTTGGGTTAGGAGACGAGGCTTGTGTGGGTGGCAGGAGATGACATCAGAGGCAAGGCAGGGCATTGTAAGGAGGCCTGTAAGAAGTTTAGCTTTTATTCTAAATGCAAGGAAAAGCCTCTGGAAGGTTCTGAGCTTGCACTGTCTGATAGAACTCTCTGCCATGAAGGACATGTTCTACACCCCGCACTGAACAAACAGCAGCCCCTAGCTTCCTCCTGCGACTCCTGGGCACAACGTGGCAGCGGCAACTGAAGAACTGGAAAAATCTAGTTGGACTTAAAATTTGGTTTGGGGCGCCTGGCTGGCTCAGTCAGTGGAACATATGACTCTTGGTCTTGGGGTTGTGAGATTGAGCCCCATGTGGGGTGTAGAGATTACTTAAAAAGAAAATCTTTTAACATTAAATAAGTTTTAGTTTGCTTTAACTTTAATGAATTTAAATTCAAATAGCCACAGTATCTGCCGTAAGCAGGGGGGTGACTTGCTCAGATTTGTTCTGTGGACAGGAGGGAGGTAGGGGGTGGGAGCAGGGTAAGTGGACAGGGGTTGTGCCGCTGGTCCAGATGAGGGGCGCTGGTGACCCAGAACCAGACTAGGGTGGAAGCGAGGCAATAGAGAGAGGTGGTCGGGTTCCAGGTTTGTTCTGGACTAATTGATGGATCAGATGTCGAGGGAGGAAGGACCAGCTATGATGTGGACAGTGGGTCATTGAGTGTGATGGGGAAACGGGCGCCCATGTGAGGAGGCTTCAGGTGCCCACAGCCAATCCACAGAGAGGAGTCAGGTGGAGAGAGAGTGGATTTGGGGTACCAAGGAGCCGTCAAGACCAGAGACAGAAATGGGAGCATTGTTAGTGAATAGCTAGTGTTTATGGCCATAGGGCTGGAGATCCTCCCTGGCTCCGCAGGGGACTGGGTGAGGAAGGGTTAAGGGCTGGGCTAGGAGGGAAGTAGAGGCAGAGAGACTGAGAGGCACTGGCCAGAGAAATGACAGGGATCCAAGAGTCCCGAGGGATGCAGACTGGGTGAGAGGGCAGGGCTCCTGTGAATGACAGCCAAGTCCTCAGGTGGAAGGACACCGGGTCTGGCACCATGAGGCCTGCAGAGCTAAGGTGGGCCCCAGAGCCTGACCGCACAAGCTGGAAGCTGATGCTGGCCCCACAGAGCTTTCCAAGGGGTTCAGCGGGTGGAGGGGACTTCACCAGGGGCTCCACAAGCCCTGAGGAGCAAGTGACACTTATTTTCTTCATCACTCTCCTTTTCTGAATTCTTCATAATGAAAAGGCCTATCTTTTGTAATGAAAAAAAATAGATACTATTTTTTGTTTTTTAAGTTTTTTACAGCTTTATTGAGGTATAATTGATGTGCAATAAACTGCACATATTTGAAGTGTGCAATTTGATGAGTTTTGACATCTGTAACACACCTGTGAAACCATCACCACAATCAAATAACAGACATTTCCATCACTCCCAATAGATGTTGTTGTTGTTGTTGTTGTTTTTCATCTAAGAACTAAAGTGGGACAGAGAAATAGGATTAATGGTGATGTCTCCCCTCAATCTCCTTCATTTTCTGGAATGTGGTTATGTGGCTCTGCAGTTTATTTAGAAATCAAACACACACAAAACATTTATCGTGTTAAAAAAAAATCAAACACACAAACACACACACCCTCAGGCACCCTCAGCCATCCCTGAAACCAGAGAGAGATGCTGGCAAACCCTTCCCCAAGGCCGCCCTTTTCCTTTGCTGGAAGAAGAGGCTGGGACCCCATAGCCCCATCTGTTGGACAGAATGCAGAACTTTCAATGCATTAAAACTGGTGGTGGAGGGCGCCTGGGTGGCTCAGTTGGTTAAGCGACTGCCTTCGGCTCAGGTCATGATCCTGGAGTCCTGGAATCGAGTCCCGCATCGGGCTCCCTGCTCGGCAGGGAGTCTGCTTCTCCCTCTGACCCTCCTCCCTTTCATGCTCTCTGTCTCTCATTCTCTCTGTCTCAAATAAATAAATAAAATCTTTAAAAAAAAAAAAAACTGATGGTGGAAACAACCCAATGTCCATCAACAAATGAATTGTTGGCGCCTGGGTGGCTCAGTTGGTTAAGCGACTGCCTTCAGCTCAGGTCATGATCCTGGAGTCCCAGGATTGAGTCCCACATCGGGCTCCCCGCTCAGTGGGGAGTCTGCTTCTCCCTCTGACCCTCTCCCCTCTCATGCTCTCTCTCATTCTCTCTCTCTCAAATAAATAAATAAAATCTTTAAAAAAAAAACCAAAAACAAATGAATTGTTACTCAGAATGTAGTACATCCATACAATGGAATATTATTTGGCCACAAAAAGGAATGCAGTACTGATACTACAACATGGATGAACCTTGAAAAACTTCTGCTAAGTGAAAGAAGCCTGTCATAAAAGACCACATATTGTATGATTCCATTTATATGAAATGTCCAGAATGGACTTATCTATAGAAATAGAAAGTAGGTTGGTGGTTGCTGGGGATAAGGGGGTGGGAGGAATGGGGAATGACTGTTAAAGATCATTGAGTTTCTTTTTAGAAATGTCCTAGAACTAGATAGTTGTTCTAGGTTTTGCACAACTTAGTGAATATACTAAAAACTATTCCATTATACACTTGAAATGGTAAATTGTATGGTATGTAAATTATATCTTAATAAAGCCGTTCTATTAAAAAACAAAAATTGTGGAGGATAAGTTAAGCCAGCCCTTGAGTCCCCAGCCTGGGTGGAAGCAGGCCCTGGTCCTGCTCACTGAGGGGTAAGGAGGAATATTTTTCGAGCATCTCTTTGAATGCTCACATGAGCCCAGGGATTCATCCCCACTCCACAGATGAAGACATGTTTGCACGTCACCCAGCCCTTCAGCTGTGGGCAGGTTTGAGACCATCTTCCAGCTCCATAGTCCATGTTCTTTGCGTCATTCTGAAGTCCAAAGGCCCCACTAGTGTGAAACCAGGAAATTTCCATTTGTTCATTGTAAAATGGACTGGCCACCCCTTCCCTTGGTGACTTCCTGAGCAGGTCTGCCAGCTAAGGTTAGACAGGATGTGCACTGTAGAAGAGCACACATCAAAGGGGGCATGGTTCCCTGCTTAGACCTGGTAGATATATTGGTGGTGACAGCAATTGTAAAAAGGTGTCTTTTCTCACAAAATCAGTTTACAACAGCAGTTTTCTAACATATGGATATCAAATGCCATGAGCAAGAAGGGCTATTTTTAAATTGAGGTGAAATTCACATAACAAAGTTAACCATTTTAAAGTGAACAGTTCAGAGAGATTTAGTATATTCACGGTGTTGTGCAACCATACAGCTTATATCTAGTTCAAAAATATTTTCATAACCGGGTGCCTGGGTGGCTCGGTTGAGCGTCTGACTCTTGATTTCAGCTCAGGTCATGATCTCAGGGTGTGGGATCAAACCCCATGTCAGGCTCCAAGCTGGGCATGGAGCCTGGTTGGGATTCTCTCTCTCCCTCTCCCTCTGCCCTTCACCAATATATATATATATATATATTTTTTTTTTTTTAATCACCACAAAACCCAAAAGGAAATGCCACACCCATTAAGCAATGGCTCCCCATTTCTCTCTCCTTCCAGCCCCTGACAACCACTAATTTCCTTTCTGTCTGTATAGATTTACCTATTCTGGATGTTTCATATTAATGGATTCAAATAATAGGTGGCCTTTTGTGTTTGGCTTCTTTCATCTAGCATAGGGTTTTCAAGGTTCAACCACGTTGTAGTATGTGTCAGTATTTTGTTCCTTTTTAAGACTGAATGATATTCCATTGTATGGATAGACCACATTCTGTTTACCCATTCATCTATTGGTGGACATTTGACTCGTATGAATAATGCTGCTCTGAACATGTGTGTACACATACTTGAGTCCTTGTTTTCAATTCTTTGGCAAATACTCTTAGGAATGGGATTTCTGGATCATATCGCGATTCTATGTTTAACTTTTTTTTTCTAGTTTTTTTTTTTTTAAAGATTTTATTTATTTGAGAGAGAGAGAAACAGCATGAGAGGGAAGAGGGTCAGAAGGAGAAGCAGGCTCTCCGCTAAGCCGGGAGCCTGATGTGGGACTCCATCCCAGGACTCCGGGATCATGACCTGAGCCAAAGGCAGTTACTTAACCAACTGAGCCACTCAGGCGCCCCTCTATGTTTAACTCTTTTAAGGAAGTGCATGGGTACCTTTTTCTAATTAACACAGAGGCACTGTGTGGGTGGGCGCAGTGGCATTGCCCATGAGAATTGCATGGTCTTCCATCCCCCCAGCCCTTGCCAGCTGCCCAGCCTGGGGCTAGGGCCTCCATTGATGTGACTTGCTTTCCCCCTCACAGCTATCATCCTGGCAGGAGGCAGAGAAAAGGGCTGAGAGAGGGACAGTGACCCCTTAGTCACACAGCAGTAAGTGGGGGGGGGGTGTGCAGACTTGATCCCAGTCTGACCACCGTGTTCCTGACCACTGTGCCATCAGGAGGGATTGTCAGATGGAGCATTATAAAGTCAGCAGGGGGCGCGCCTGGGTGGCTCAGTCAGTTAAGCGTCTGCCTTCGGCTCAGGTCATGATCCCAGGGTCCTAGGATCGAGCCCCGCATCGGGCTCTCTGCTTGGTGGGAAGCCTGCTTCTCCTGCTCCCTGTGCCTGCCTCTCTGCCTACTTGCGCTCTCTCTCTCTGTCAAATAAATAAGATCTTAAAAAAAAAAAAAAAAAGTCAGCAGGGCTTTCTGCTTGAAGACCTACCTAAGACCAACGTGAATATCTGGACCTTTTCTTGTTCTTTCCTTCCCCTGGCTGTACCTTCATCCCCACCCACTTTGGGGCCTGGAGGTCCGAAGAGGGCTCCCTTCAAGCGGGATGTGGCCATGTGACCCCCATCTGTCATCTGCCATCCATGATCTGTCCTCTGTCAGCCCCAGGAAGCTACTGGCAGGATCAGAAAACTAGGGCGATCAATACAGCTTTCTTCAGTCTGCTTGCTTGTGTTGTGCTGCACAGTGCCTGGCTGGGGACCTCCTCCAGGCCGCCAGCCCCAGAGAGGGGAGCAGGGATCTCTGTGGGACCAAGGGTTCCAAATGAGTGTGTGGGCCTTTTCTCCCAGGGCCCCCTCAGCTGTAACCCGATCTACCTTCTGCAGCATCAATTATTGATGAGGCCCCTATAGCCAGGGAATCCCAGTGTGGGGGGGCAGGTGGAGAGGGGAGGGTCCTGGCTGCCATTTCCAGCCTTCATAGAGAGTGAAGGGGCGGGGACAAGATGAGCTTGTTCCCAAAAGCATGGCCTGTTAGATGGTCCAGGCTGTGGCTTCCAGTGGTCAGAGGCCCAGAGCACCCTCAGGCCAAGGGGGTACCACCCACCTGCGGGGCACAAGAGAGCCCTGGGGCTGCTTTGCTTCCCAGAACACCCACCATGTGTCCCTGAAGACAGGGTGGGGAGAAAGCAGAGCGAAGGGCCTGTAGACAGCAGGCTGGGGGGCAGGCTCAGACAGGTGGCCGGTAGTCCTGAATGCTGGGGTGGCGTCTGTGTGTGGGGGTGGAGGCTGGGAAGGATCTGGGCTGCCTGGAAAGAGGCGGAGGCGGTGGCGGTGTGACAGCCACATTTCCCGTCTGCCGATCAACTTCTCTCAGGGGAAGGCCCGACATATGGGAGGTGACATAGGGAGGCCACAGCAGATGGCAGAGGAGCCCAGGAGCTACTGGGAGGGTGTCTCATGTTGGGGCAGCGTCTGAAGTCCTGGGCTTCTTGGGCAACAGTGGACCCAGGGCCCCCCAGTCTTCAGGAGCCCCTTCTCCCTCAGAAGAGGAGGGCCCTCCCTGAGCTGTGTGCTGCTCCTTCTGAAGGCTCCCCTCATCCCATGCCTCTCTTGGTCCCTGCTCTGGGCCTCTGTGTTCGCCATGTCCCCCCTGCAGGCTTGGAACCGCTTGTGATCCTGGGCCTTTCCCAGGTACACTAATTCTCATCTGTGTGAATGTAAGTGATCCTCTGTCCATCTCTCTGTTCCAGTTACCTAGAACTTAGGTAAACTTGGGTCTCTCTGCTTAAGAAGCCCTGGGTCTTTCTGGAGTGTGAGGTTCATCTGGGGGTGGCTCCCATCTTACCCCCCCCCGCCGCCGCTGAAGTCAGAGTCGAATGGATCCTAGGCCTCCCCCCCAATCTAGGGGCCCAAAGAGGGGCTAGGGGCATGGGGAGGCAAGTTGGTGCCCAGGGCACAAGATTAAGGAGGCTGGGAGCAAGTGCCCTGCTCTGAGTCACTGGGGTCTTCATCACAGGTCATATGGCTGCAGGGCTGGAGCCTACTAAAACCGTGGGGGCTCAGGCAGGAAGGGGTGACAGAGGAAGGGATTGATAAGCTCATTTCCTGGTTCTGCTGAGGACCCTGAGGAGTGCTGGGTGTGGCTAGAGCCATGCGAATAAACCTCTTTTGGGGATCACAACCCTGGGTGACAGGGCACTGGGACCACCTGACTGGGGGATAGACATATAAGGGACACAGTGTCCCATGGGTGAGGCTGCTTGGCAGGGACATACATCTGAGGGACAGGTCTCTTCTGAACCATTTGCTTCTGGTCCTGGGTGTCTGCCCCAGAAATGACAGCCGCATTTTGAGGTGTTTGGAGAATGTCTTTGTTGACTCATCGATTCTGACAGAGGAGACTCTGTATCAGCTGGTGGGAAACAGATAAGCATGCACAGTGGACAACATGGGGGAGAGTTTAATAAAGGACTACTTACAGAGAGTGGGTGTGCATGAGACACTGTGGTTCTAGCTCATTAACGGGTCACCATTATTGCCCCCTCAATCCTGGGGCCTGAAGGGGTGAGGGGAGGGAGCCGTTGGAGAGTGCCAACCCACTGTGGCCAGGCTCCTCTTCCCCATGACACTTTCTGCTGTGTGTCACAAACCTGATCCTAACGCAGCCTGCCCCTGTCCCCCAGCCCCTACCCCCCAGCCAAGATTGTGTCTAGTGGACCAAGCTGGGCCACCAGTCCTCAGAAGGGCCAGCAAGCTCTCTTCAGGAATCCTGAGCGTACAAAACCACAACCACAAGCATGGTCGCTGCAGTACCTTTGGTAAAAGCTAGGAGCTGGACACAAACCTCGTGTCCCAGTCAGGGGGCAGGGCGCCTGGACTCTGGTCCACCACCCGAAGGAAAACTGGCAGCCGCCAACGGAATGAGTCGGCTCCGTGTGGACAGAGGGCTCCTGCAGGTCAACCAGAATGCAGGCTGCCAGGCAGCACGTGTGGTCAAAGGTCACTCTGGTCAAACAGCAAACGTGACAAGACACCTGGCTGTGCTGCAGAGGACTAGTCTGGAAGGGCTCCTACTTCCAAGGACAGGAGGGGGGCTTTCACCCTGCATAGAAAGCCTTGTAGTGTCTTGTTTGGGTTTACAATAAGCATGTACAGAATTCCTTTAAGAGTGATTTATATAAAGAAGTGTTTTAGATCTGTAAAAAATTAGAGCTAAAATGTGGTGAAGGGAGAATGAACAGAAAAAGATGCAGGTGTTCTTCCCCAACCAGCATTTGGCAACTGCTGTCAGCTACCCAACGTGCACTGGGCACCCACAGTGTGCTAGGCACTGTGTGGGGCACTCTTCGGGGACTGACCAGAACAGCTGTTTGCAAAATGCTCACCATCTCGGAGAAGCAGGTAGGATATGCCCAGATGTGTCCACCTGCTTGTGGCACGGGGTGGGCGGGGATGAGTGGGCACCCACCCAGGGCTGCGGGGTGTGGGGCAGGTGGGGAGGAGGAGCCAAAGATGACCACTTGGCCAGAAGGGGCCTGAGAGACCCTCTTGTCCTTCCTCCTCCAGAGGAGCAAGGCTGCCCAGGGATCCCACAAGTCTGTGGCCAAGGGACAGTGGACAGTCAGCTGCAAGTCCTATTGATTACAGAAAAGTCCCAAGCAGGGATGACAGGTGGGGTGTTTCCTCATTTGCTGGCTTTGACAAGTCCTGCTTGCCTGGACCACTGAGAGGAGAAGGCTCCTGAGGCCGACCCAGGAAAGTTGGCAGGGTGCCTACATGGGCAGCTAATGTGTGCTGAGGGCGAGAGAGGCGGGCCGCGGGGGAACCAGTGTCTCGTGTCTGCAGTTCCGAGCCAGAGGGGAATGTTTGGTGACTCTGTAGGTGGCACTGGCCTCCCAGATGATCACCGCAGTGCACCCACCAGTGGGGCAGTGGGGGGCTCCTGGGCAGCCAGTGCGGGCCTTTCCTGGCTCCCAACCCACTAAAGAGAAGTGGCTGAGCTCTGGGGCTCAGCGTGGTGGGTGGGCAGACACGGATGGCTTCATGTCACCCCTCCACGGTCACGGAAGGCACTGCCCATGCTTCTGGTGCAGGCCCCAGCTAACAGCAACCCAGGCTGGAGGATGTCGTGCTCTCCTGGGTCTCGAGTTGACTCCCCTCCATTCCTGTAAGGAGGGAGAAGTCACGTGGCATTAACTAAGCACGTGCAGCTGACACGGGGCAGCCTCCCTCCCCTGCCACTGGCACCTTCTGGTGACTGCTAGTCAGAGCTGAGCTTGACCTTGCAGGCCTCTCTATCAAGGCCTTGGTGACCTGGCACAGGCCGAGAGGCCTAGGATGTATTCCAGATGGTGGAATAGTGTGGGGGAAAGACACAGACTGGGAGAGCCAAAGCCAGGACACAGGCACGCAGCCAGGGATGCCCAGCCTGGCTCATGAGGAAGCTGCCGGGAGGGCAAAGAGAGCCAGGGAGCGAGTCTGAGCTGGCAGGCAGGGTCAGGGAGGCTGAGGGCCTGACGTCAGAGTAGTGACAAAAAGGGTACCCCAGAGAGGACAGCACAGGAGGACAAGTTAAGGGAGTGGCCTCTTGGGACGGGAGGCTGGTGGACGTGGGTTTTGGGCTGCAAGCCTGCTCCCCAGCCCCGGCCCTGCAGTCTGTACGCACGGATGAGGTCTCCCTCGCCGACCTGGAGCCGGGCGCCACTCCTCCTCTCCAAGTCCTGTAGAACCGACTGCTCAAATGCCAGGGCGGCTACGCGGCTGAAGAACGCCTTCACGTTCTCCCCTGGGGGCCCAAGAGACAGCCCTGACCCTATCGCCTTGGCCCTTACGTGCAGACGAATTTGGGAGCCAGCGGGTGTGGGAGCCAGGGCGGCACACCCGTGGGGCTGTCTGGGGCAGCAGAGGGCAAGGGATGGGGCTGGCTGGCCTGGCTTCCCACCTCCGGGGGCTCCACAGCACCCTGCCCTGGAAGCTCCCTCAAATCTCCGAGCCTTGGTTTCCCAGCATCTACTCTTCCAATTAATCACCACTGAGCATCTCCTGTGGGCCTGGCGCCAGGATGAGTGGAGATCAGAAGGGTGTCTGCTTTCCTGTCACTTTTGAGCACCTGTCCAGTGGGCAGCTGCTGTCAACTCCCACATAGAGACTTTGTGCCTCCTCCCTCAGGGGGAGAAGGCCACCCATCTGGGCACAGGGCTAGGTTCCAGCCCCCGACATGTGCACTGCCCTTGTGCAGCCAACAACCTATACAACTGCACAGGGCAACCCTGCTTGGCCCATAGGGAGTTCCCAGTGAATCTTCTGTTACTCTAAGCGGGGGGGGGGGTCCCCATAGGGCACGGGGGATGCTGTCAGGAAGCAGAGGGAACTGGGTATGGGCACTGCCATGCTTTGATCTGTGTTGGGCTGGAGGCTGGTGCCTACCCTTAATACTCCCATCCTTGCCTCCCCCAGTCCTTGGCCAGACGTCAACTGTGGCCCCTTACCCGGGGCAAGGACCACAATGCGTAATTCCAGAGTCCTCAGAGCCGCTGGGGGCTTCTATGAGCCAGGCACTGCATGTTACTTCATTTCACACCCCCCTCCCACCAACAACCTGTGTATTTTAAGTGTGTCTTTTGCTTCTCTGCATTTTCTAGTTTTCCCTCACTGAATACATATGGCTTTTGTAATTTAAAACACCTTTTCACAGTAAAAATGAAATGAGATGGGCAGGGTCACCCCATTTCCCAGATGAGGACACTGAGGCTGAGATGTTAGGCATCTTGCCAGGGCTGGAGTAAGCAGTGGCCCGTGGGTGAGGGCAGCTCAGGGGCTGGGGGCTCAGTGTGGTGGCGGGGGGCCCCGTGTGGCTGGAGGACAGATTGGTGGGATGTGGATGAGGGTCAGGGGGCCATGAGCAATGTTGCAGTGTCTTCCATGATGACACCCAGGGAAGGGATGGGAGCCCCCAGTTACTGGGCCCTTCTATGTGCCAGCCAGGAGGTGCCTCTTACCCACCTACCTTAGGATGGGGGGGCAGGATGGTACAGTGGTTACAGGTGAGGGCTGTATTCCAAACCCAGCCCTGCCGCTTCCTCCCTGTGACCCTGGAAGTGAGCTCGCAGGGATAAAATGGATCTGCCTCAAGGAGGGAGGGGGGATGCATTAGAGAACACGGGCCAGGGCCAGGTGTCACTATTCCTGTTGTCCATGGGGGACGGCTCCCGCTCTCCCTCCAGAGATGAGGAGACTCCTTTCAGGCAGTGGAAGGCCCTGCATGGTCACCAGCACAGCTGGCTGTGACTCAAGCATGCCATAGAGCCACCGAAGGAAACTCCCCGCACCCGCTGGGGCAACACCCCGCACCCACTCACCTGTCTTAGCGGACACCGACCAGTACTCGGCCTGCATCTCGTTGGCCAGACGCACAGCCTCCACTTCCGCCTGCTCACATGCAGCCCCTGACTGGGAGAAGCAGCCCTCCTGTGGGGGGGGGGTGCTCCCCCCGTGCCTCCTCCCTCCCCACCTCACCCTGGGATGGGCGGCTTCAGTGCATGCATGGGGGTACACCTTCCACAGGGGTGAGATCCCAGTGATCCCTCTCCGATGAGACGAAGCACAGGTACCCCCAACTTTCAGCTCTGGGTCTTCCAATTCCCATCTGGGCACGTCAGCACCACCCTCCATTCCCCAAGCTCCAGCTGAAAGCGGCTGCATTTTCCCGAGGGCCATCACAAGCCTCTAGCTCTGGTGGGCTCACCAGAAGGTCCTTCTTGGTTCCCACAAGGAACACGAAGCAGGAGCCCGGCTCATTCTCCCTTAATGCATCCTCCAGCCACTGCCTGGAATGCACAGAGGGGAGACAGGCTGAGAGATGGCATCCATCCACCTAGAGAGGTCTGAGGAAGACTAGGGGATTGGGGTGCAGGCCCGGGTCCACCCCAGGGCTGGGAGCACTGAGCCTCGAGTTGCAGGGAGGGCACCCAGACCCCATCTGGGCCCCAGGTGAACTGTAGGTGGGTGGGGACACAAAAGCACGGGTCAGGGGAGGTGAGGACCCTGCCCTGGTTTGCCTTCACCCTGTGTTACCTTGGGGGAGTCCTGCCCTTTCATCAACTTGAGCGATCACCCCAACCACCCTCACAGGGCTTGGGAGAAGCAGGATATGAATGCCTTAAACCAAAGAGAGGTGAAGAGGACTTTCGTCCATTAACTGGATGATTCCCAGCAGAAGCAGATGACCTCCCAGAATTGGTCATGTTACCAGCTCTCTTGATCGGGTCTCTGTCCCAGAGAGCAAGGGCTATCCCTTCAGACAGGACTGGATATATGTAATTTGTAGGACCCAGGGCAAAGTGAAAATGTGAGGTCCCTCATCCAGCAATGATTAAAGCTTTCGAGATGGTGACAGCATAGCTTTAAAGCCCTCCTGAGTGCCGGCCCCTGTATGACCCGGCTGGCTGTGTACCCTGAGCTGATTCCACCTTCAGCGGATGGGTGCAGATCTTAAGGGATAATATGGCAATTGGACAGTAAGTGGCCTGTGGGCAGTCAATTCTGACAAGCGAGTCTGGTCCCTTGCACCTCCCACGGGGGCGCCCAGCTCATGGGCAATCCCGAACCCAAGGGGACCACAGGGGCAGCAGAGTCCCAGACTTGCCTGGTATGCCCCAGAGTCTGCACGTCAGTGAGGTCAAAGGCTGTGATGATCGCTGGACACACAGGGAGAAGCCAAGAGCCGGTCAGCAACAGGTGACACAAACATGGTGTACAAGGAGGGGCTCCCCTCAGGCAGCTCCCTGCTCCCCAGGAGAAAGCCAGAGAGGAGCCTGGCTCCCACAGAACTTCCAGGGTGGCCCCCAGACAATCACCCTGGTCCCCACTATGGAGGCTGGGAAGGAGACACCCCATGACTGCCTCTTGGGACCTACCCACCCACCACCCTCTCCAATCCATACCCAGAGGCCCAGCCCCAGGGAGTATCCAGGGAGGCAAGATAAGCTCATGGGCTTCTGTGTTCAAATCTCCCCTCTGCCACTTACAGCCAAGGGAACTCAGGTGAGGGCCTTAACTGCTGAGTGCCTCAGTTTCCCCATCTGTGAAATGGTAAGAGTGGTACCTCAGGCTCTCAGGGGTGCTGTGAGGTTTAAGCAAGAACAGCTAGTTTTACAAGGTTCGGTCTAGGGGCTGACACAGGACTTTTGACCAATGGCAGCGATGGCTATGAGGACAATTAGCAACAACCAGCTTTGGGGGAACAATTTCTGAGGAGCAGGGTGGTTCTCATCACCAGTCCTGCCCAGGTTGTGTGGTGTCCAGGGTCTCCAGGACCCCGCTGGAGGCCTGAGGGGAGTCCCATGGGGAGGACATTCTAGAAAGGCTGCCTCTGAATTGGGCCTGGGGATGTGAGCAGGGCCAGGCAGACCCTTCCCCTGCAGCTTGGCTTAAGGCTGTAGGAGGCCCCTTGAGGCAGAGGGGAATGAAGCAAAGGAGGATACTGAGGATGGTGACAGTGGCGGGCCCGGCTGCAGTTCCCAGGGTTGCGCCAGGCGCTTAACACCTCATCCTCAGGGGGTGTCATCCCCCTCAGAAGACGGGCCAGAGCTGGAACTCCAACCCAAGGCCAAGGTGCTCACAGCTTATTTCCTGGTTTAGCTTTTTTTCAAATCTCAAATGGCAATGTTATGATTTCTCTTTACCAGTATCCAGTAGACACAACTAGGCCTCATAACTTGAGCCTGGTTTTGGATACTGTGAATGGTTCTCATGTGTCCCACTGAAACCCCTGGGGAGTTGGAGTGGGGAGCCTGTGCTGCCACCTGCTGACTGGGAGGCCTGCCCAGTGCCTGGGCCACCCCCTCTGCCCCCTACTTGCAGGTGCAGTCCTCCTGTGGTCCCTCTGCTCCTCCCCTCCAGCCTCGCCTCCTCACACCTCCTCCGGGAGTCGACTCTGCTCTTCTTTCCTGGGGTCTCTGGACATGCACCTCCCCCTCTGAGCATCCTTCTGAGCTGAAACTGAGGTTGAGACCCCCAGGGAGCACCTGCCAGCACAGGGTCCCTGAAGGATGTGACTGCTGAGGCCAACCCCAGGCCCAGCTGGCTGGAAGGCAGTCTCCTCATCCCCTGGGGATTTTCTCAGTGGTACTTGGAGAGCAGATTTGGTGCCTGTGCAGAGGACCTGGACTTCCTGTTATGAGCCCAGTGGGAGCCTCCTGCTGCACATGGCTGAGGGTCCCACCATTGCTATCACCCAGATGCTCACCCTGGGCACCCCGGTAGTAGGCAGATGCAATGCACTTGAACTTCTCCTGCCCTGCTGTGTCCCAGCTGTGTGGTGGCAGAGACAGAAAGGGAAAAAGAGAGGTGGCAGATTAAGCAACTGCAGTGGTCTGAGCCAGCAGGCTGGCGGGGCTGTGGGCAGGCAGGCCCTAGGGCCTGTGCCAACTACCGGCCAGAGGTCCCCGCCCCGCAATTCCTCGTGATTTCCTTCCTAAGGTACCCCGTGGGGGAATTCCCTGGCTGGATTCACCATGCCTGTGGGGGAAGGGCATGCCCTAGTTCCACTGCCTGGATGAATGGAGTTGTAGCTCCGCCCCTTTGGACCGTGCCATTAAAAAGGAGAATACACTCCCTGATGTGCTTGCTCTGAAGATGTGGAAGTCCACCTGTAGACGAGGCCCCATGAATGGGACTGGCCCTCCCCGCTATGGTTCTGCTACTTGCTCATGTGTGGCTGGGCCATGGCTCCATGTTCTGCACTGCAGCAGAGGGGAGGCTCAGTCTCTGAGTGGGGGGTGGGAGTGTCTAACAGGGACGTGGTTTGTATCTCCTGGGTAACTCTGATCAGTTAGTTTTGGCTCTCTGGAGAAGTGGAGACCCGGCTCTATGGAAAAGAATGCAACAATCGATTAATGATGTCTGCCATCGGCACAGGATAGGACAGGGGGACACACATACTGAGATCTACTTGCTCTGGTTTAGAACCAGGCAGGTGGTCAATATGCAGAGCTGAGTCTGAAAATCCATCCCTTTTTTAAAATTAACAGATCAAAATTTAACTTTCTTCCATAAATGGAAAAGTAGACAAGCCATGAATAAGATCTCAACGGTCTGAAATCTTTTGAAGCAATTCAGCATTGATGCAGAACTCTTTGGCCCTATTCTGTCATGAATTCATTCATATTGTCTTTCTGAAGATGACGCTGGGTGGGAAACTGGGAGGGTGGCTTGGAGGTGGGGCCAGTGGGTAGCTGGCAGTGGCCTCAATGTAGGGACAATGAGAAGGCAAGCCAGGGCAGCGTCTCTGTTGTGGTTAGATAAGGCTGATGGCCTGCTCTCAGCCTGGCTCCACCTAGGCCATCCCACCAGCTCTGTGCTCCTCAGCTCTCCTGGCTCCAGAGCCCCTCGGGCCTCAGCCTTGCATTTTCACAGTCTCTTCTGCTCTGGTCTGGCCCTGTACTCTCCCTCGGGCAAGATTCGGTGGTGCCACCTGGCTCTAGGACCACACTGGGGCTGTCCTCAGAGAAGTGGGCATTATCATGACAGGGTAAGGAACTGAGGTCCATGAGAGGGTGAGCTCTATTCTGATGACCACAGATCCCCAGGCTAAGCCCAGGCAGGGCTTAGAGGATTGAGGAATGAAACCAGAGGATCAGGTGTGACCCCCAGTGAGAGAGAAAGGAGAAGGGGACTAGGACAGAGGCAGCAGGCAAGGGGGGCGGGTAGGGGCAGCTGGGCGGAGAGCCTAGAAAAGGGAGGGGGCCACACAGGAGAGCCTGGAAGGGCAAGAAGTCACACAGGAGAGGGTAGGGCTGGTGACACAGATAGACCTGCACAATTATCCAGGTGCCAGAGGAGAGGGACGGCAAGGTCCAGAGCTCTAGTGCGAAAGTGTGAGCCTGGGGGAGAGACTCTGGGCTGTTCTAAGGGAAACTACAGGGGAGGGGCTGAAGCCAGTGGGCCACTGAGAGGCAGAGACATGGGGTCTGGCAGGGAAGCAGACAGAGGGAGAGAGACAGGGGGAGTGGACTGAGGGCAGAGGGGTGAGGAGGAGGGGGGTGCATCAAGCCTGAGGAAGGCACATGGACTAGGTGACCTCCACCAGGCCCCAGCACTCAGGGACCACTGTGGGCTCCACTTTCCAGATGAGAACAGATGCTCAGAGGTTTGAAGTGACTTGCCAGAGGCCACCCTGCTGGCCTGGTGAGTAGGATCACCGAGGGCCAGGCAGGCTAGGGGCGGGGACCCAGAGCCAGAACTCGAGGGGCGGGTATCAGGGGAGGACGAGGGTGGTTGGGCACATTGGGCTGTGAGGACTTTCCCAGGTCTGATGACCAATGTGAGACACCCATGGGGAGTGACGGAGTATACAGGGCTTCAGGGAACTGGAAAAGCCCAGTGTCATACCATTCCTGTTTGTCCAGATAGGTCCTCACCAAACACCACAGGGCACAGTCCAGAAGGAGCTCACCAAGGCTTTCCCCATGGGCTTCCCTCCACAAAGCCCACCCACGAGCCACACAGGACATGGTGTGACATGATGGCGACTTACATCTGCAGGCTGTAGGGAATCCCAGCGATCTCAAAGCGCTCGATTTCAAAGTCTACCCCGATGGTGGCCTTGTAGTCACGGTCAAAGACATTCTTGCAAAACCTGTGGGAGTCGAGGAAGGCATCAGAGAGACTGTGTGTGGAAGCTTTGCTCATGACAGTCAAAGTCTGCAGGCAACAAAAAGTCTACCCACAGGGAATATAAGGAGATGATGGTCCGCGGAGATAGACAGTAGACAGACAGCCGCCGACGAGAACTGTGTTGGGGAAGAGAATCTGCTGCAGCCAGAAGGCAAATTGCTGCAGGTCAGTGCCAGTGAGGTGTGAGCCCATGGTCCTGGGGGATGGTGTCATGAATGTCAGGGTCCCAGAATGCTGCACCCCCCGCCACCCCCCCCCGCCACTCCCTAATGCCTTGTACCCCCTCCGAGGTGTGGTTCCCAGCAGCCACAGTTTTGACTATGACAACGTTATCTGGGCCTCCCAGGGAAAGGCATGACAACCAGTGCCGGGAGGTGTGGCCAAGCGGGCGCACCTGTGGATGAGGCTGGTCTTGCCCACGTAGAGATCACCAACGACAACCACCTTGGAGAGTCGCAGCCTGTGAGGGATACGGTTGTGTCGCTCGCAAGCAGAGTCATGGAACATCTTCACACATACAGGCCTTTCCTTCCTTGAGCTCCCCACTCATGAGCCATGTCTCAGTCCCTGACAGGGGACGGGGCACCTGCTGAGACACTCTGGGATGTCTGTCCCCATGCCTGGCACTCAGAGGGGAGGGCAGGAGGGCCTGCATCTGTTCTGGGGACTCTGCTGTCTCTGGGGCTATGTGCTCTTGACCCCACTGGGCCCAAGCCCTGTTGTGAGAATTAGAATTGGGCACGATGGGAGGCTGGGTCTTGGGCTGATGGAGTAGAGGGAGGAGGCCCAGGTGAGGCTATGTCCAAGCTGGGGGCACACGCAGCAGGGAACCTGGAGTGAGCTCAGGGTGCAGACGCAGTGTCAGAGTGCAGGGGATATAGGCATGGGGGCAGAGCCCCTGCCCCCTCCGAATCACGCCCGGGGCTGCACGGGCTCCTGCTTTGTGCAAGCAGGTACTCCCTGACTGGGACACCACCATCACCGCCTGCCTTGGAGGTGTCTGCCAGGGCCACACAGGCCCCAAGGGGTGAGCAGTGGCCAGGACTCAGGCCAGGACTCAGCTCTGGGCTATGGCTTGAGGTAAAGTGGCTGTGAGGTTCTTGGGTTCTCGGAGGACCCTGCTCACTGAGAGCAGCCACCCCCCCACCCTGTGTGTGTGTCCTGCACTCCCTGCAGCAGCATGCCTGGCACTGTAGGTGGAAGTTTCTGCAGCTCATGCCAAAGGAGCGCAATGGGCAAACATCTGACCGGTACTTCCTCTGCCTGCAGACACCCGTGTCACCTGGTGACCTGGTCCAGCTCCCCTGGCCATGTCCGGGGGCCCAGAGGCTGTGTCTTCTCTGCTCCCAGGTGGCCTCTGGTCCTAGGGCAGGGTGGACCTGACTCCACTTCCCAGATGATGGAGTAAAGGTACTGCCGAGGTATTACGGAAGCACCCACTGGGCCTCAGGTTCTCACCTCCCAGAGCCATTGTGAAGAGTCAGAGAGGTAGTTGTATGGAACCGGCCCTCCCTAACTGGTGGCCGTTGCTCTCATCCCATGAGCCTTCGGACCTGAGCCTGGCCTCACTCTGCACCACCTAGGGAACCTAGGGGCCGGGGGCTTCCACTGCAAGCTCACCACACCTGTGGGACACCTGGGAGCTCCTCAGGAGGAGAGGCAAAGCAGGCCCCGGTACCTGTGTGTTAAGAGAAGGAGTAACTGGGGTGCCTGGGTGGCTCAGTCAATTAAGCATCTGCCTTCAGCTCAGGTCACGATCCCAGGGTCCTGGGTTTGAGCCCTGCATCGGGCTCCCTGCTTGCCAGGAAGCCTGCTTCTCCCTCTCCCTCTCCTGCTGCTCCCCCTGCTTGTGCTTGCTCTCTCTCTCTGTCAAATAAATAAATAAAAACTTAAAAAAAAACAAAGAGAAGGGGTAACTGGGGTGAGCTCCCTGTGCCGGTAGGACTAGGTGGTTCCAGGTGCTGCCAAGGCAGGAACAGGACAGACACAGCCCTTGCCCTCACAGGCTACGTCTAGTGGGGAATCCAGAGAAGCAAACTCGTAATTCTGTGAGATAAGTGCTTGGGACCCAGGAGGGGCACCCCGGGCAGCCCAGGCTGGGGAGCGGGGGTAGTGCGGGACGCCCCTGACACTATATTGTGAGCTGAAGGGTAGGAAAGACATTCCAGACAGAGGAAGCAGACATATGCCGAGACCCTGGCCTGAAAAGTCATAAGCGTGACTTACTGAGAAAAGGGAAAGCATTCTCTATGGCAGCAAAGCCAGATAAAAATCCCTATCAGCTCCAGGCCCACACTGGGCTGTACGGGTGTGGTCTGTGTAAGTGTTCCATTTCTTTGTTCATACATTCATCCATGCATTCATTCCCACCCGCTGCCTCCCCCCACATCCTGTGCCCCCTGGGTCGTGGGGTCACTCACCCCACAGTCCCCGTGTTCCTGTGCTGGCAGGTCGTGCTAACCTGCCCATGGAAGTGCTCCTTGAGCTGCAGGCAGGCATCAGGCGTGTACCACTGGAAAAAAGACAGACAGACAGATGGGCATTTCATCCTTCAAAGCTACAGCTTCATCACCAAGCAGGGCAGCGAGGTGGTGGCTTGCCTCCCGGCATTCCCTCCCTCCTGAGCCTTGAAGCTCCAGGCTCGTTAGCTTTCCCTGACCCCTCTGTCACAGCCGTCCTCTATCCCCTCAGTGGCCCTGAGACTCCAAGCTCTTGTGAGTCCTGAGGAGCAGCAGTGGGGGCCGGTCCAAAGGGCCCAGGTGGCAACTCGGAGAGCGGGGTCTCGCCTGGGGCAGCTGTGCCCTTACTGTGGGCGTGTGGCAGGTCTCTGTCCTCTCTGGACCTGAGTGAGAAGAGGGGTGGGCTGTAAGGGCCCTTTTAACTCCACGATCCTTCCATGCCTTCTATGGATCTTGGATGGCATTTTTTGCTTTAAAAATATCTATGTGTTTGGAAAATGTCCTGGAGGGCTCTTTGGGCCTTCCACAGTTCTTGGAAGGCAAATCTGGGCTATGGTTGAAGAACATAACCGCAGGGTAGGAGGACCTGTGTCTCCCTCTAGCTGCTGTGTGATCCCAGGCAGCTGTCTAATGTCTCTGAACTTCAATTTCCCCAACTATAAGACCTCGAAAGCCTGGGGGCATAAAATGAAATAATGCTTGCAAAGCCATCAGGGCAGACCCAGCCTGGCATATACTAAGTGCTCAACAAATGTTCACGGCTATTAAGATGTCACAACACGTGTTGAACACACGTCTGTTTTATAATTGGGAAAGATGGGGCGCCTGGGTGGCTCAGTTGGTTAAGCGACTGCCTTCGGCTCAGGTCATGGTCCCGGGGTCTTGGGATCGAGTCCCGCATCGGGCTCCCTGCTCTGCGGGAAGCCTGCTTCTCCCTCTCCCACTCCCCCTGCTTGTGTTCCCTCTCTCGCTGTGTCTCTCTCTGTCAAATAAATAAATAAAATCTTTAAAAAATATATATAATTGGGAAAGATGACATTAAAGCAACTGAAGGTGACTGCTATGTTTTGTTCTCAGATTGGCGGAGGCTGAGGATGGAGCGTGGGGAGAAGGGCACCGTTGGAAGCTATTGGTGTGCCCTGCTGTGATATGGCAGCAGTCCCCCGGGCCACCCGCTCTGTCTTTTGGGGCACTGCTTCGACCCACAACTCCCCTGTGACAAGGACTCCACCCCCACCCCTAGCCATAGCGTTTCTTCTGAGTTCCCAGGCACTGAGATGGGCTCTGCCCTGGCCCATCTGCCCCCTCAGCTCCAGGCATGATGGAGGCAGCAGGGACAGTGAAAGGAGCTGTACAAAAGGGCAAGTCACAACACCTCAGTGAGCCCGTTTCCTCATCTGTAAAGCACTCATAACAGCAGCTCTTCATGTGGTCGTTGGAGGATCAAACGGGGGTGATGTAGATGAACAGCTTAGCCTTGCAGCCCACGTTCATGTGGAACAGTGTCAGCTACCTCATGAGAAAGCTGGATGCTTTTTCCTGTCGACTTTCATGTCAGCTTCAAACGGGGGGTCAGCCTGGCCATGGTGGTGGTCACTAGAGGAATCCCCCACCATTTTGGATGCACTGAAGAAATGTAGTAAGGAAGACTGGGCAGGAAGTGTGAGCTGATTTTAGAAACAGGGAAACTGAGGCACAGAGTAATGGGAGGGGCTTGCCCCACCTGGACCACGAATTTCTCAGGACTCAAGTGTGTGACCCTGGGATACAGGATGAACTGCCACAGACAGGAGCGGGGAGAATCTCGCCCTCAGTGAAGACATGATGGATGCCCCAGGCTGCCTCTCAGGGTAAGGGAAGGTTGGAGCCCTGGAGTCAGACCCAGGTCAAGTCCTGGCTCTGCCATGCCCAACTGTGTGATGTCAGGCAGCCCTCCCTACTTCTCTGAGCCTTGCTGATCTATTCTGGAAATGGGAGTCCTCTGTCCCGTGAGACCTGAACTGTTTTGTGCTGATCACACTTCCCTTCCTTTTGGCTCACTAAACATCAGTGTCCATCATCCCTGGTGACCACGTTCAAGCTCTCTAGGGAAGCAGTTGTCTGGGCCTCTGTTGAAATGGAAAATTCTGGGGGAATTGTCCACAGGTCCGAGGCACCACAGCCTTCTCTGTGGGTGTGTAGAAGCAGAAAAGGTGAGAAGGTATGACTGCCGGCCCAAATTACCCAAAGTCTGCAGTCACCTCCTTCCTCCTTACCAGCCTGGGCACAGAATTCAACAGACAGAGGGGTCACTCCATGGAGAGGATTTTTCCCTCTATGTCTGTCCCAAGTCACATGGAGGCAACCACTGAGAACAGGATCTTGTGTCCTTCCAGAGATATTTTTGGCATGTATAAACAAACATATACATTTGTTTTCTGCCCTCTCCTTTTGCCACCCGTGGAAGTATGCTAGACACACTGCTCCATTCCTTGCATTTTTACTTAATTGACTTTGGACCTTACTTCACATCCAGTCCTGGAGGGAAGCCTCATTCTTCCTCCTGTCTGTGTCAGGAAGGAGCATTTTGCTGTTGAAGCAGCGCCCCCTGGAGGACATTTACGTTTTGTCTGACCTTCCGCTTTACAAACTGCTCCGATGTCTGGCCTTGAATGGCTGGATCAGAAGGCAGGGGCATCGCAATGGTGGGAAATACTGTCCCACTGCCCCTCTAGGGGTTGGACTGATTTGTATTGCCTGATGCAATTAATACTGGATTTTAATACACATGGAAGAGGGCCGTGCTTTCAGCAGGAACTGAAGGCAGAATGGTAAGGCGGGAGGACCCTGGATTTGGTGTCAGGAAACCAGAGTGCTATTTTGATAATAGTAATAATAACAACGAGAACAGCAGTGACCACGACTCAGGTAAGGGAACTCCCGTTTACCAACAGCCAGGCACCCAATGTGAGGAATTAGCCTTATGTATCAGCGGCTCTGAGAGGCTGAGTAATTTGCCCACAGTCACATACTTCTAATGACAGAGTCAGGATCCACACTCAGGACCTTTGGACTGCAAAGTCTGTACCTTTAACCTTCATGCCACATTGTCTCCTGCTGTCCCCCTTAACCTGCTGGTCCACCTTGGGCAAGTCAGTGCCAAGTCTCCCTGTTTCTGAAGAAGTCTAGTAAGTTCCCAGGGTCCGTTAGAGAGGGACTGACCTCCCCGATTCTCCTGCTTTGTTTCCGGTGGGGGATGCAGGTGGGGAAATGTGGGTGTGGACGTGGTGTTGGGAGAGCAGGGTACACAGAGAGGGCTGGCTAATGACTCTCTACCTTCGGGAAGCTGGTGATGATGCGGTCCCGGCTCACGGGCGGCCCCAAAGGCGTCAGCGAGGACCTCATCCTTCCAGAGTGTCCTGTGGACCCAACCAGGGGAAAGAGAGTTAGGGAGCTGTGGCAGTCCCTGGGGACTCATCCTCAAGTTTATGTTTAACCTCTCAGTAGCTTTAAACATTGATCCACACACCTCCTTCTCTGTCAGGGAAACTGGCCAGAGGTCATCTCTTTCCATCTGCAGGCAGTTTGGCTGGGGTGGGGGTGGAGGGGACCAGGCTTTCCTGGCCCTGCCTGGGAGTCAGGAAGACCTGGGTCTCCTCCTGCCAGGTGTCTAACCAGGAGTGGCCCCTCTCTGAACTTATCACTGGGGTGTGAGTGGGGCATGGCGCAAACGCCAAGCTGTACATCATCACAGCCCAAGGGGAGGAAGCAGAATTGGGGTGGTCTCCAAGGGATGAAGGCTCTGGGTGGGTCAGGAGCCTTAGGCTTCAGCCCACAGGCATTTCCCCGTATGCCTTCACCGTGCCCAGCGCCTGGCCCTTCACACCTATTCAGCAGCCCTGCGTCTCCTGTCCTCCTCCTCTTCCCACTAGGGTGGCCTTGGCCAAGTCCTTAACCGGGCCTATCGTCCTCCCGGATCTGACCCGGCTCTCCTTCAGGACCAACACGGGCCTGGCCCAGGGCAGGCGCCCAGGAAATGAGGAGGCCCCGGGGCTGCAGGCTGCGGCGTTCGGGTTAGGGCTGTGGGAGGTGGGCGCGCAAGCGGCGCCCTCCCAACCAGGGCCTCCTGGACGTGCCTGCACGGAGCGGACTAGGGTGGGACAGAAGGGGCGGCGGACTCACCCGCGGAGGTTGCAAAAGCTCCAGAAGCCGCGCGGCCTGGTCTGGCTGGGCCCGTGGGGCCGCGATCACCATAGCAACCAGCGCCACGCGCGACCCGCCGGCGTCTAACGAATCCCCGGCGTCGGGGACGGGGTCTGGGCGGGGCTCACAGCGGAAAGAGTCCCACACGCGGTTCGCAAGGGCGGTCACCGTAGCAACCGGAGCCTCTTGGGGGGAGCAGCAGACGCTTCCGAGACACCGCTCGAACGCCGGCGATCACCATGGTAACGAGGGCGGGATCCGGCAGGCGGGCGGTGGGCGGGGACAGGGCGGCCAGGAGGCGGGGCCGAGGCCCCAGGGGCGGGGCGGGGTGGAGAGACTCGCGCACCCAGCTTCCGTGGGAAAGGTGGTAGTTTAAAGGAACGGGTAGGGATTATGTGAAGTGTTTAAATATTTATTTTCATAATATTAAATACGATTTTTTTCTGGTTATCTAAATATTTCGTGTTTTTCTTTATATATTACCATGGAGGGATCTCCAAGATCTTTTGACTCCTTTTTCTCACAACCCGTATCTGATTTATCAGTAAATCCAGTAGGTTCTACCCTGAAAATTTGTCCAATATCCTCTTACCGCCCGCCCCTTCCACTTTGTCCAAGCCAGCATCTTCTCTCCAACTGGTCGCCTTGCCTTTACCCTTGCCCTTATCCTATTCCCAGTTGGGTGACTCAGGGATCCTCCTGTTAAAACAAATCAGATCATGGCAATCTTTGGCTCCAAACCGTCCAGTGCCTCCTCATCTCTCTCAGATTAGTAAAATCCTTACAGTGGCCCAAGAGGCTTCACGTAATTTGCTCTGGCCTTATTTCCTCTCATCTTCTACCGCTTTCTCCCCATCCCCCCATCCCACACAGGCTCCCCTGGCCTCCTTACTGTTCCTGCAACACACCAGGCGCCAGAGTATTTGTACTGGCTATTCCCTAAGCCTGGAATGCTTTTTCCCCAGATATTCACATTGCTCCCCTCCTTCCCCTTCTTCAAGTTTGCTCAGATAACACCACTAGATGAGGCCTCCCCAAAGCAGCCTATTTACAATTGTAGCATCCTCCCAACCCCTTATTCGGTTCTGTTTCTCCCAGGCACCTACTATTTTCTAACATATTATATAACTTATTGTTTTTGTTGATTGTCTATCTCCCTTCACTGGCTCCACGGAGAGCAGGGGTGTTTGTGTTTATTTCATCCACGTATCACGTGGGCTAAACAGTGCCTGGGCATAGCAGACATTTAGTGAATGTTAAGTGAATGAATAAATATTAAATTTTAAAAAAGAAGGTATAGAGAACACTTTTTGAAGTATCCTGCCACAATAAAAAGTAAATGAATCATATTTACTTGTGTAAGTTTAGCTTAGCTCTGGAAAGATACCAGTGGTTGCTACAGGTAAGGACAACCTGATGGCTGGGGACTGAGAAGGGAGGGAGACATCTTACTTTCATACTTTCTAGATTTTCCTCTATGTGCATATATTGCCTATTCAATAAATAACTCAAATGAAAATAAACAATTTGGAACACAGATGATAAACAACATCCCCCCATCTCTGGCCTTGCCCCTGCAGTGGAGCAAGGCTTGATGTATTTTGGTGTGCTTCCCTCAATCAAGTCTTTCCCGCAGACACCTCCTCGTCTTGGCAATCATGGCATAAGAACTTTTGCTGTAGCATTGGCCTTTGATTGGAGTGAGCCCCCTGCAGCGGCCTACTATTCATTGACCTTAATCTGCATAGTTCTGAATCTAATGAAGCCTGAATATCATATGCCTGGCTTCTAGAGCTCATATTATAAAGTTAATTTCTATAATTAATGGCTGTTTAAAAGCTGACCTGATTCACTGAGCTCCTATAAGCTAGTTTCTGTTTGAAGAGTGAAGCATGTGGGCTAGATGGCCTCCAGAGACACTTGTAAGACTGTGTAATCACAAAATGAGAGAGTAGTTAGCTTTGGAGAGGAAGATGGGCCAGGGCTAGACTGTCCAGGGATCAGGCCAGTGTAATTTGGGGGAAGCTACTGAACCTTTCTAAGTTTGTCTGTAAACTGGACATTATCACTTCCCGAGTTTACTCTGAGGATTAAAGGCATGCAGTGTTCAATTCAGAGAAAAAGTACAATCACTTCGCTTCCCTTTTGTACCATGAACAAAGCTGAGCCGTCTTTGTTCCACACAGTAACCCTGTAAAGCATCATTGTCCCTACAATGATGGTATGAGATAGGGGAAGAGGATGCAGGCATTGATAATGTTCTGGTGGTGAATTCACATGTAATTATTATATTTATATGTTTTATAATTAACATATATACTAATATAATATTGTGTGTATCTTTAAAAGATAACAAAATGGAGATTGAAAAATAATAAAACTGAAGCATAATTAAAAAAAAAAAAAGACTCTATTACCAGATTCTGAAAGGCCCAGGGTTCCCAACTTTGAGAATCTACTTGATTCAGCTCTCTGATTTCACAGATAGGGAACCTAAGGCTCACAAAATCAAAAGAATTTGCCCAGCGAGTTAGAACTAGAATTGGAAACCAGATTTCCTGACTCCTAGTCCAGTGCTCTCCACACCGCCTTCCTAAAAGAGCTAGGAAGCTCTGGGTTAGAGATCCTTTGTGACTAGGTCCTTTGAAGAACCACAGTAGGGGGCAGATCTCCACATCACAATATGGGATCCTGGGCACACTGATCTAAGTTATCTTCATTTTAAAGCTAATTGTGCTGGAGGCTAATGCTTGGTGCCTTTGTTAGTTAAGTTTCAGTGCTAAGGGCTCAGGCTTAGGGGGTGGACTTATGTGAGTTGCTCTACCTCTTCCTGAGCCTCAGTTTACTCAGCTATAAAATGGATGTGGCTATCAACTTCAAGTGTTCTTTGTGAGGATCACACGAGGTGGTGAAAGTGATTTGTAGATTTTAATTCTTGATTCAAGTCCATTAACCATTCATTTATTCTATATTGACTGAAACTTCTAGTATATTCCTGGTACTGGAAAGGCAAGTAAACAGGACTGACAAGGCCTCCACCCTCAGGGAAGTTGGAGTCTGCTGAGGGAAACAGAAATAAATAGAGAATTAAAGGAGGAAGTGTGCCAATGGGATAATTAAGCTATGGGATCATTTACTAATTTGGAGTTGGGGAGAGGATAGGATTCATGGAAGAAGTGTACACCAAGCTGTGTCTTAAAGGACAAAGAAGTGGTTAGTGTTACAAGCAGCTCAGGCTGCAAGAAAGAGTTGATCATTTGGGAAATTAAAAGAATCCAGCATGGCTGAAGGAGGCCATGACTCAGGGCCTTGAGTAGCAGGCTAGGAGTTTGGAGTCTGTCCTGAGACCAGTGGGAAGCCATGGGAGAGTTTTATGCAGGTGATGCCTGGGTCTGGCTTGCTTTTAAGAACAATTGCTCCAGCCAGTAGTGTGTTTGCTCCACTGCAGGGGCGATCTATGTCATTAGCAGGTAATCAGATTGTAGATGAAGGAGCATGGGCCAGGGCTAGACTGTCCAGGGATCAGGCCAGTGTAATTTGGGGGAAGCTACTGAACCTTTCTGAAGTTTGTAAACTGGACATTATCACTTCCCGAGTTTACTCTGAGGATTAAAGGCATGCAGTGTTCAATTCAGAGAAAAAGTACAATCACTTCGCTTCCCTTTTGTACCATGAACAAAGCTGAGCCGTCTTTGTTCCACACGGTAACCCTGTAAAGCATCATTGTCCCTACTTTACAGCTGGTCCCGGCTCCGGGGCCGTTCGCGCCTGCGCGGCGGGCGTTGCGGACGCCGCGGGGTAGCCTGGCAACCCGGTCGCCTGGCAACGGCGCTTCCCGGGACCGCGGGCTGAGGCAGGTGAGCCGGCGGCCGCCAGAGGGAACAGGGGGTCCCCAGATCCACCCAGCCCGGTTCACACTGGGCTCGCGTCCTCTTACCTCCCTAACCCATGCTCCTTAGAAGAGGGGAGGCCCTTGTCCCCAGCACCCACTGTTCCTTGCCCGGGGAGCCCAGAAATGGCCACGTCCCTCCCAGCTAGGCCCCCTCCCCTCTTGCCCCCGTCATTTGGTGCCCAGAATCAGAGTCTGGCTCACCTCCTTTACTGAAGTTGATCATTCCTATAGGGCTGGGGTTGTCACGGGGACTAATCGCAGGAACCACCACCCCCATAATAGTAGCCACAGAGGACATGACATATCCAGAGCCTGGTGCGCCAGACTCATGAGTAGCAGTTCATACGACCACTCTGGCAGGGAGGGAAGGAGGTGCTATTATCACCTCCCTTTTGCAGCTGTAGAAAGACACAGATAGAAGGAACTTGTCAAGGGCCACCCATGGCCTAGGTCTGGAGCCCGTTCTTTTTTATTTATTTATTTATTTAATTTTAAATTTTTTTAAAAAGATTTTATTTATTCATTTGAGACACAGAGATACAGAGAGAGAGAGAGAGAGCGCATGAGCAGGGAGAGAGGCGGAGGGAGAGGGAGAAGCAGACTCCCCGCTGAGCAGGGAGCCCGATGCGGGGCTCGATGCCAGGACGCTGGGATCATGACCTGAGCTGAAGGCAGACGCTTAACCATCTGAGCCACCCAGGTGCCCCGGTCTGGAGCCCGTTCCTAACTACAGTTGACCCTTGAACAACATAGGGCTTAGGAGTGCCAATACTACCCTTCCCCCACAGTCGAAAATCCACTTGTAACCTTTGACTGCCTCCTTCACTATTAGTAAGCCTACTGTTGACCAGAGCCTTACCGATAACATAAACAGTCGATTAACATGTATGTGATGTCATATTTATTGTATACTATATTCTCACAATAAAGGAAGCTAGAGGAAAGAAAATGTTATTAATAAAAGTATAAGGGAGAGAACACATTCAGTATTTATGTAAAAAATATTTATGCAAAAAGTGTGTTATGTAAAAAAAAGTACTGTTTTATAAAAAATCCATGTGTAAGTGGACTGTGCATTTCACACCTGTGTTGTTCAAGGGTCAGCTATACTGAACCACACTGCCTATAGTTGCTCCAAGAGTGTATGTGTGTAAAAAAAATAAATCACACTTTAACCTTAATTCCTTTTTTTGTGGATATGTCAGAAGCATCTGAATACTATACAGTGGCTAACTGAATATTAAAAAAAAAAAAAAAGAAGAAGCAGCAGCAGCATCTGAATAGGGTCCCTGGTGGATGAATGAACTAGACCTGGATTTGAACGTTGGC